GCCGTCATTGTTGTTTGGCGGGTCCGGGCTGGGGATTCGAACCCGCCACCTTAGGTGTACGTGGCTGGCGCCTTAGCCGGGTGAGCTATAGGCGCCGAGCCGAAATGTCACTTCTTTTGCAGACAATATTCAAGATCAAATGACAATATTTGGGACTACTCAATACATAAGAATGTGTCCAGATTACAGACAGGAACTGGGAACCCCAAACAGCTCTTTAAATGTCCTGGACACAATACCCTGACATTCACACTACCCAATATTTTTTTGCTAATGCAGGAAACAGGGGAGAAGAGACCTTAATTATCCTCTCATAAAAGATGCCTGCCTTGTAACTAGTTTTCTCCCCTCTACTGACAATGCCCATTTCTAACAGCCCAAATTGGCCAAACTATCCTAAAGCTATGGCTACGTTAAAAAGAGTTAACCTTCCAGACTCCTCAGAGAACGCCATTTCTCCCCTAAGGAATCCAAACAGATAACCATTATCTGAAAAATGTAACCAGCTTGCACATTAAGCTCAATTTCAAATCAAGCATGACAGGAACACATTGATAATGACAAAGCAGTTTTATTAAGCCGCAGAGAATAAGCTTTCTACCTCTGCAGCTTTCTGTTTTTCATCCCCACCACCTTCAAGATTAATTACATTCCTCCATCTGTCAAATCGTCTCAAGCACGAGCTAATAAAGGTTTCGTTTTAGGGCTGTCTTAGTGCAGCCGGCATCAGAGACAATTGGCGCTATCAGTGGTCCTGAAACTGCAACCATTTATTCTCAATCCGCAAAGGTAAGGCACAGACTGTACAGCATCTAAATTCAGCAAAACGTGCAGTATTTTTAGTCATAGGGCACCCATATTTAGTATTGATAGGTGAATCTGACATTAAAGGAAGATTTGCTCTTCTGGAAAGCTGGGAGACATTTTGAGAAATTTGATAGGACAAACCTTTGTGACATTCAAGACAGCAAAACAACGAGCTCAGAAGTAAGGATTTCTCAAGATTATGAAGGCTGACTTTAAGGCTGTGTATATCTGAATCAAACAAATCGGCTGTTACCAGCACCACTCTTCACAAAGATAGATTCCACAACCTCTAAACACATAATTACACCTGCTCAGCACAGTTCAAAGATTGCCAGTAATGATAGCCTCCACTGAGTTGCCTCCCTCCTCCTGTCTTATAATGATTACAAGCCTCCCTAGAACATCTCTATACTTCTGGAGTCAAACAGAAAATTAATTAGGCCAAAGCTGTTCCGGTGGGGGGGGGGGCCCACAAAACAAAATACGAAGAAACAGCAAAGAATTCTACAAAGGCTGAGTCCAAATACGGCGCCCCCGCGTCCAGCCTCGAGGAATCACACTACTGTCATCCAGTCCTCGTCGCCTAACAAGGTATTCACCAGGTTCATTTCCTGTCTAACCAGTGAGAACGCAGGAATTTTCTGTACCCAGCCATATCTACCTCCAGGGATGAGGGAAAATGGGGGGAGACCCTCAAATTGGGAGATCCTAAGAAGCCCCCAAATTCTTCTGCCTATTCAATAAATAACCTTCAGTTCTTCTGCCTATCCTTCAAACACGGGAGGGAATTCCAGGCCTCCAAAGGGCAGTGAGCCTCCTCCTGTCCCTCTGGTTGGAGGAAGGGTGCCCAAAGAGGGGGTGGACTCCCCATTTTCTCTCAAAGACTTAAGATCCTTGCTAATTCCTCTGAAAATCGAGGGGGCTATTAGAAGGGCTTCCTGCGTCCTACGAGGCCACTGCCTGTCGCGCTGAAGACACAGCCCCAGCTCACCTCCCGCCGCCACCGCCACAGCAGCCGCCGAAGCCAAGCCCGCAGCCTCTGAGGCTCTGGGCACTAGCGACTTGACGTGCGTGCGTCCGCCCGCAAAGCCCGCCCCTGCGCCGCCGGCAGCCCCGCCTCCACGATGACCTCATCGCAGCCGGCCAATGGGGAGCGGCCTCGCCTCGGCTGCCGCAGTGCGGAGTCACGGGGGATGGGGGCGAGACCCAGAGTGCTGACGCCATCTTGAGCTGGGGCTGGGAGGGGAAGTGGGTGAAACTGTAGGTGCAGGTTCTTGAGGACTTCAGTTTCCTAGCCCCTCTGATCCCTTTTCCTTAACGGGGCAAGGTCGCTGGATCTCTTTATTTTCCTGTCCAAAAAATTAATGTTAACAGCTTTTTCTTCTCGAGGAATGCGTGAGAGAAGGGGGCGATATCGTGAAATGACCCGAGAGACGGAGGGGAGCTTCAAAGCTCATCCAATTGTCTCCTCCCTACAAGCACCCGGTGCCCCTTTCCCTTATTTACAGATGAGAACATTTTATCCACAGACTGAGGAGGTACCTGCTTAAAGTGGATCTTATAGTAAAGCCTTAAACGATTTTTTCACTTAAGTACGAAAACTGTCTTTAAAATGATATGTGATTCCTTTTTCCCGCAACTGCCGAAGGTCCTTTTTTCTCCATTTAACAGGAAAAACCTCATAAGACCATATGTTGTGAAAGTAAATGTCTGTCTTGTTCGGTGTATTCATGTGGGCTTATTTGATTGCTTGGTAGTTTTCAATTCCTCAAATTAAAAAAAAAAATTTAATACAAAAGTAATGCTTATTATTTTTAAAAACCACTTTCTCAAGTATTGATACTAAGGAGAGGATCCCTGGTCATTTACAATAACCAGATCCAGAACAGGAAAAACTCGAAAAACCGGTTATTTTTTTCTGGGTTTTGGTGGAGCCCTATTGAGATTCAAGTATAATGGGGGAGATGGGTCAGATAAAAACCTGGTACTGGTCGTTTTGCATCAGTCCTGCTTTGGCCAGCCTAAGTGAAATAATGAAAAGCAAAAACGGATGTTTTATTTGAATTTTGTATCTCATATTATGAGTGAAGATATAGCTTGACTTTCGTACAGTTTTCTTTTTTTTTCTTTTGGAGACAGCATCTCACTGTGTCACCCTGGGTAGAATGCTGTGGCGTCATAGCTCACAGCAACCTCAAACTCTTGGGCTCAAGTGATCTTTCTTCAGCTGCTGAGTAGCTAGGACTATAAGATGCCTGCCTCAATGCCCAGCTAGTTTTTCTATCTTTAGCAGAGAATGGGTCTTGCTTTTGCTCAGGCTGATCTCTAACTCCTGAGCTCAGTTGAACCACTTGCCTCGGCCTTCCAGAGTGCTGGGATTATAGGAGTGAGCCACTGGCCTTGACTTTGGTACAGTTTTCTTGGAAAGACCCAGGCCCTCCTTTTCAGTTCTCTCAACTTTCCTGGCAAGGCAGAGAGGGACCCACATGTGATAGCCTGCCAAGTTTTAGAAAACTATTTACACAATGTCATTTCCTTCCTCTGAGACTTCAAAAAAAATAAGTAAATAATCTCAGTCAGCTGCTTTCTAACCACATATTTTTCATACTCCACCTTTAAGACAGCCTTTCCTCTGGCTTCACTTCAATTCCCTTTGAACTCTTTTCATGGCTTCCTTGAAAGTATATCCTCTCAGAGCACCTTTCCTGTCTCTTTTCATCTCTTGCCATCCGTCTTGCCTCAGTGTTCTATTTCTCTTTCCTTCATGTTCTCTTCCTCTGCAGTCTTGCCCTTTGGCAAGCTTAAATGTCCGTGTTGGACTCATGTCTATTTTTCCATCTGCTTTCCTTCTCCAAAGCTCAGAGATGGAATTTCATACTGCCTGCTGGATAGTCCCTTTTAGGCAATAGATGCTTGCTGAGGGCCTACTATGTGCCAGACATGCTACTAGGTGTAAAGAATAGAAAAATGAAACAGGCATGCTCCCTATCCTAGAGGAGCTCACAGTTCAGTGCAAATAATACAAGAGAGATGAATACAATGATTCATGGTACTATGTGCAAGGCATTTTGTAAATATGAACTCATTTAATCCTCATGACAACACTAGGAGGTAGGGACTATTATTCATATAATTCCTATTAAATAGATAATGTGGTGAATTGATGTATACTGTATATCCATCATATTAAAAATGCTAGCCAGGCCTGGTGGTATGCATATGTAGTCCTAGCTACCCAGAAGGCTGAGGAGAGGATTGCTTGAGGCCAGGAGTTCAAGACTACAATGAGATATGATGGCATCCCTGTACTCCAGCCTGAGTGACAAAATTAGACCCTGTCTCTAAAAAAATATTAATAGTCAGGTGGTGCCTATGGCTCAAA